TTTTTAAATTTTTTTATATTGTTTGATTTTTAAGATAAAAATTTTTTTTTGAAAATTTTATATTTCATGTGATTTTTAAAATAAAAATTTTTTTTGACCCATTACCCATCACCACCACTCGCCATCACCACCTACCACCACCACCCACCACCATCACCCACCACCACCACCCAGCACTACCACCCACCACCACCACCCACCACCACCTGCCACCACCACCCGCCACCACCACCCACCACCACCACCCATCACCACTACTCATCACCACCACCCACTACCACTACCCACCACATCTACTCTTCATGACCATTTTTTATATCATGTGATTTTTAAAGTAAAAGTTTTTTTGAAAATTTTTTATATCATTTGATTTTTAAAATAAAAATTTTTTCTTGCTCACCAAATTTATTTTCTTCAGTAACATTCTTTCTAAAAAATTTGTAAAAAATGACATCGACACTCGCATCTCTCAAAGTATATTGTGCTTTTCTGCAATGCCGATTAGTCTCGTTGCACTTATACCCCGAGTGAGAGGCTGTCATTGCATATTTTGACAGTTGTTTGTACTTGCAGTATATTAAAGTCAATAATGTATATAATAGCAAAATTATAAAAATAATAAAAAAATATTAAATAGCGCGCGCAAAGCTCGCAGCTGTACTCTAAATACTAGTCTAAAATGTGGATTAACCTACTGTTGCAACAAACAACGTCAATTGATATGCATTTGTATCTTTCCTCTTTAATACATATGTAATAAAAGAATGTGTGTATGGTGTGTGTGTGTGTGTGTGTGTGTGTGGTGTGTGTGTGTGTACGCGCGTGCGCATAAATATATATATATATATATATATATATAGTATAAAATTCTTTTAATTTAGCAACATTACATTCTTGGTATCAAAATACTCTTTTATCCTGTCTTTATAAAATTGGCTAGAGATGCTTTTATCAAATTTATGCAATGTAATTTCGCGTTTAATTTATTTATATATATATATGCATTGTCAAAATGACTTTTAGAATTGTTTCAGTACGCCGACATTTCTCGCTAACAAAACAATTCAATTTATATACCGTGTCGCTTTTGTATAATTCAACAGCCATAGTTTCGGAGCTTTTTTTGCTTAAATAAACTAGTGGCACATAGACATGTCGGTAGATCATTTGCATAGCGTAGTATACATGAATGAAAATACTAGTGAGGCGAAAATACCTGTTGTAGGAATCATAATAGTCTTTCCTGTCCGTAGGCGAAGGTCCCAATGACATAAGCGGTGGTGGATGACCTCCAGTGACTAGATGCGGCATCAACGGCGGTATATTGTGTTGGGATGGCTGATTTCTTCCTATGGGATATCTCGATAACGGTCTCTCCCTAGACGGTAAATCGCGTTCACGATCACGGAATGGGTAATCGTGAGCCGGTGAATCGCCGTAGTAAGTGTTGTATCCATCTCGAGGCTCGCGTGATCGCGGCCTGTCTCTCTCACGATCCCTCTCTCTTTGAAATCTGGAAGATCAAGCACATACAAAGTATATTAATTAAAAATGCATTTTACAAGATGTCTCTTATATACGATGATGAATTTTATGCGAGGTATACCTCGGAGGTGATCTGACTGGTGATCGATATCTGGTGGGCAGTAAATCACGATCTCGATCCCGCTCGCGATCTCTGTCACGGTCACGATCACGATCGCGATCACGGTCACGGTCACGGTCACGATCGCGATCGCGGTCACGATCTCTTTCTCTGTCCCTCTCCCGATCTCTATCCCTTGACGGAGATATCCTCGGCGACTGACTGCGAGAATACGATCTAGATCTGCAACATTAAAAACTTGAAGAATCAAATGATACAGCGGACATTGTGTATTTTCATTAAAACTACCAAAATACCTGCTGATAGAGAAGCTACCGCTTCTTGATCTACGTTTTGGAGTACGACTACGAGGTCGAAGTGATAACGGTGATCTCGTTGATCTTCGTTTCGACGGAGGAGGACTGCGAGATCGACTGATGCGAGACGTAAAAGGCGATCTACGACCAAAAGAGCGCGATCTAGATCGACTGTAACTACGCGATCGAGATCGCGTTCTGCTTCTTCTTCTATGTTTCCCTAAACGTCGATCTCTCTCATCCTTCTCTCTAAGCATTCGCTCGAATGCTTCCAATGGATCGTCAATTATTCTGAAGAAAAAATATATAGTAATAGGAAGTAGTATATACGGATAAGATTTTTTTTACCAATCAAGAAAAATTAATGGAAAATTAGCTTACCCAGATGGATTTCCATTGTGTATATTTCTGCCTAATCCAGGTGGCGGTGGTTGCAGATTTCTATATCCCACTGAAACACAAAACACAAATGCGAAATGCTAAAAGATTATGAAGAAAAATGAAATAGATAATTAACGAGTCAAAATGCATTATATATATAAAATAAATAAAATTGAAATAAAAGCGTCTGTGCGTGTACCCCTGCATGTTTGCTTCCAAGTATAAGAAAAAAAAATATATAGAAAATATTAGAAAAAAAGTGCTTTGTTAAGAAGCTAATTGCTTCTTTTTTGTTTACATACTCGTATAAAATTGAATATATATTACTCTTACTGGGATGCAATCCTCTCATTGGTCTTGGTGGCCCGCTATAGTTTCGGGGTGGCTGAGACGGTCGGTATCCTTGTTGCTGGTAAGGGGGTCTATCGTACCTCGGCGGTCCGTAATGCGATCCCTGTTGATGCGGATATATCGGTATTCGATGACTCATATATGGATCTGGCAAAAGTGGAGGATTATGCGGAGGTACGTTTGGCGGTGGCTGATTATAATTTGGTGGTGGAATACGCTCTTCGCCAGGCGGAAAAGGCAATAATGGTGGTTGATTGCCAGATGAAGGGACGTGCAAATGCGGTTCGTCGACCTAAAATATTGCAGCAATGTGCAGCAACGAATTAATGTTTAAGTAATGTTAAAGTCAATGACAAAAAAAGTCGTAAAGATGTAAAGAAGGTACGCTCGCGCTCACCGTTGGAGTGCCCGCACGGTCTTCGTTCGATCGACGTATTCCACTGTCATAATGCATACTAGCCGGATAATGTCCATCGTCCGCTAAATGACCTTGATAGCCCTTGGAAGGAGGTGGGTTCATTAAATGAGGTAATACCGCACTCGAAGATGGATATTCGCCGTGTTGGGAGTGTCTGGGCGACAGGGATCGATTTCGGTTGTGATTTAATGGCCGTAAATTCTCAATTCTACGACCACGCTCTCCGCTTCTGCATTGTTGTGGGAAATAATGCAAAATGTAAATGTATTTAAACTTAAACTTTGCTTATCTCTTATATATCACGATAGTTTTTGCTCTTAATGTTACAAATTTACTGCTGAAGCAAGTAAGACTCGCTTGCTTGTCTTACCTGTCACGATGTCCATCTCTGCTGAAACTTCGTCGACGTTCTCTCGATTGACGTTCTCCCGAGTATTCATTGTCCCGTTCTTTCTTATCGCGGCTGGAAGGATCGCTTCGCTCGCATTCTCTCTCCGGCGAGCTCACGAGGGCAGGAATCGGGAGTAAAGGCTCTGTTCCTGGAGGAGGAGGCACCTCAGTTTCCTCGTCAGTTGTTAGTTTTGTTACTGAGTCACTTTGCAAGTGTGACTCTGAAGTAGATTCAGGCAGAGCTGTCAGGCAGAGCACATCACGTATGAGTAGGCGATTCAAATTGATTGTGATTACAGCTTATTAAAGAGCGGATTAGCGACACATCCATGGAATCCATCGAGTTGCCGTGCAGGATTACTCTCTTACACCCTCTCTCCTTTTCATGGTGTATTTGAGGTTATGTAATTTTAATATTATCAGCTGGCAGACATAAGTTCAAATATATCTTTCGCGATACGTAATTGTAGATGAAATTCAGCACATTATCCAACACGTCCCATCACGACAAAGTTATTTCTTAAGTATTATGTGCCATATGAATCAAAACAGTCAAAACTACACTGATTACATACTCTAGTATATAATGGCGCCTGCCTTCTGTTTACGTACGAGAAATGTATATATAGACGAGAGAGAGAGAGAGAGAGAGAGATTCAAGTGGTGCAGAGTTGAGTCAAAGAGAGCATCTATCCACCCTGCAGTTCGTCTCGTCTCCCCATGGGGATGAAACTGGAACACGCAAATATCTAGGCAGCTGCACCCTCCGAGTGGTTGTCCGTCATCCCCTCCCCTCTCCCAGAAGTATCGCTAGCACTTTCGAGCTCTTCTCGATCTGCGAGCTTTATTATATTCCAATTATCTCTTTTTGGGGATTTAAGCCCGATCATAAATATAATC